TCCTGGGGAAGTTTATCTGACCAAACTGTCAATATCCATAGAGACAAAGCTGTGTAATGACTGCAGTGACTGGGGCAGGGGTTTGGGGGTTAATAAACATCCTGAGCCATCAGCAGAACCCCAAACCTGTAGGATTTCTTTTCTACATAATCAAAACCTTCCCTGGCCTTCCCTTAGAGCCCTTGCTCAGGCTCAGGTGCAGCAGCTCCCTCCAGCCTGACAAAAAAAAAGAGGTTCTACAACAACTGCATAACCTCTGTCACACCCGCACATCACTGATGTCCCAACAAAAAACTCCTCTTTCCATTCCTCCCATGAGAAATATTTGGGGGCTTATCACAAATAACAGAGAAAACAAAACTCCAACAGCTCTAACTGGGGTTTCTTCATGCCTGGCAGTGCTGGCAGGTCACCAAGATAGAGTTAAAAACTTGTCAGAACATCCTGGTCCTCTTCCAGGTGCTGCAGCATCCCACACCTGCACTGTGCCAGGGCAGTGCCACCCATGCTGCCTTTTGGTGCCATTACCGTGGAAAATATCTTGGAAAATATCTTGTTTGTGTCTCCTCCACAATAATTATTGGCACCTCATTAGCAATGTTTGGCTTTGGTAAATGGGCTGAGAAGCATTAGGAAGTAAAAGCAATAAATATTAAGAATAAAAGCAGAGTGCACAGGCAGTGCTGGTGCAGGGCTGTGCACCCTGGGGAAGTTTCTGGAAAGGTTTGGGTTTAACTGAACCCCCAACTTCCAGACAGGAACTGCTGCTTATTCCCCTTCCCAGGGACATTCAGCACTCAGCAGATTTGCACTTCTGCAGTTCTGAGGTCAGCCTGGGCGATGCCTGCCCACGGCCCAGCTGCCTTGGGCAGCTCCAGGGGCTGCCCCAGGGCTGAGGCCTCACAGAGTCAGTCAGGGAATCAGGGAGGGGACATTGTGGAAGGGACATAAAATTCGGAATGCAAGGGACATTAAAGTTGGGATGGAAGGGACATTAAACCCCATCCTGGGCAGAGACACCTCCCACTGTCCCAGGTTGCTCCAAGCCCTTTTCAGCCTGGCCTTGGGCACTGCCAGGGATCCAGGGGCAGCCACAGCTGCTCTGGGCATCTGTTCCAGGGCCTGCCCACCCTCCCAGAGAACAATTCCTTCCTAGCACCCAATCCAACCCTGCCCTTATTCACCCTAAACCCATTCCCCTTTCCCTGCCAGGCCATTGCTGGTGCAAAGCCCCTCTCCAGCCTTCCTGGAGCCCCTTCAGGCACTGCAAAGCTCTATCAGCTCTTCCCAAAACCCCTGTGGAAGGAAAGCAGAGCCTCAGAAGCCCAGACCCCAAGAAGGATGGGCAGGACACTCACCCTGAGTCCCCATGGGCTGCAGCAGCAGAGCCAGCACTGCCAGGAGCTGCCCTGGCATGGTGAGGGGTGGGAGCTGCCCTGGCAAGGAGAGCTCCTCTGCCCTGAGGGCCTGCCAGGGAAGGGGAAGCAGCAGTGGGAAGTTGGGGACGGGCCAAAGACGCCACTGACACCACCCCCAGCCCTGGGATGTGCAAGGCAGGGGAGGCTGCTCTGGGTTCACAGCTCAGAGTGCTCTGCAGCAGCCTGGCCTCGTGTCTGGAGCAGGTTTGGGCAGGTGGGGTGGGCGGTCAGGCTGCTGTGGAAACACCCCCCAAATCCCTGCACTCATGGAACAGCACCTAACTGAGCTGTTTATTTGCATACACTTTAAATAAACCTATTTGTTATATATACTTTATATATTATCTGTACTTCATACCTATTACAGAAATGCTTCCCTTTACTAGAGATAGGAGTAGTACTTCATATGTACTTCATATGTATTAGAGATTATTAAAACCCAGACAGAGCTGTTTTTACAATTTCAGGTTTATTTTAATCCCATCACAAGACACGTGGCCCACACAGTGCTTCACCTTCCCTGGATGGTGCAGAAAAAAATAAAATCAGAACCATTCATTTCTTTCTGTACACTGTTATTTGTCCTTGGGGCACACACTTCCATCCTGCTTGGGAAGAATACCTGACATTTTTGCTTTGCTAGGACAGAGGCTTTGAGGTTTTCTTGGTGATGAGAAAAGTAATTAGGCAGTGAAGGGGTTGTTCCCACTAATGAGTGCAGTGTGTGTGAACTGGGCAGCACTGGGATAGACTGGAGAGGTGAGTGGCTCTCACCACGTTCATGCCTCTTTCTACCACCAAAATTCACTTTCCGCTCTGTTCCTTCCTAACTGTGCACTGCCAGTGTAGCAAACAGATCTAAATGTGAAGCTTTGAAAGGCATAAAGTGACCTACAAACTGAACCTGGTGAGCTCTGCAAATGGACTCACAAGTCATTGACTCACAAGTCATTGATTCCTCATGTGACCAAATCCATGGCCAATTGTTAGATTTTGTCCTGGCTACTTCAAAGTCATAGAAATCCTCAGTCAGCATCATGATCCAACACACAGAGGATGGTTCTTACAATCCCAGTGCCACCAGTCAGCCGTAGGTGGTGAGTCTTAGCTCCTTTTCAAGTTTCTGGATCTCCAGGAAGAGCTTTTGGACTTCCAGCCAGGTTTTCAGTTCTGACAGAGGCATTCCACACTGAAAAGCTGCTTTGCTTTGAAGCACCCTCTCACACACCTCATTTTTCCTCTTAAAAAGAACAAAAACAAAGGCAGAGTGAGACTCCAGTGCGGGGTGACAAAGCAACCACCCTCACGAAGCTGGACCAAAGCTACAAATGGGGCAAGAAACAGGAAAAACGGGGCAGCTGGTGGGACTTACACACGTGGGTGGTGGTGTCCAGGTGCCATCAGCTGAGCAGGTGGTTTTGGAGGGTGCCACTAAGTGCCTATCACAGTAGAAGGTCACAGTTTCATTCACCTCATACCACATCTTGTTGAAGTTGATCACCACATCATCCTGCTTGGGGAGTCTGGGGCACTGAACTGAGGGGGAAACACACACAAAAAACCCAATAATGAGAGGAGATGGAGGAGAAAACTCTCCCTGT